ATTAAAAAAAAATTTACTTTCTGTGTGACTAACTAAAAAATGATTGTATACTATAATATAGTCAATATACTTGTTTTATTTAAATTAATATGTATACTTAATTTTGCCGTAAAATAATTAAAAAGAAGAAAAGAATAAAATTAATTTGTTGTAGAAATTTTAATATTTATGTTTCATAATAAATTAATAAAATGTTATATATTTTTACTTCAATACTTTTAAATTATTTTTTTTTATTTTACGATATTTTTATATAATTTTGTTTTAAATATAAACTGGTTCTTTTCTCTACATTATTTTTTATTTATTGCATTATTCATACGAACTGCATAAATTTAACACGTATACGAAATAAAAATTGTGCAAATAAATTGCTCGACTGCGCTCAAATGCAGGGCTCGTTCCTAGTAATTACATATCTGAGCTTAATTTGTTCTTTTTCACTTTTTAAATCGCTTGATACCTCAACTTTTCATTAACCAAAAATAAAAATCGATCTCTTTGAGTAATTTTTTTGCTGCTGTTCTTGTTGTTGTTGTTGTTATGGTTGCTGTTGCTTTCGCCGCTACTACGCTGTGCAATCAGGAAACAAGGCTTAATGCCCCACTGTAGTTTGACATTATTAAAATGTACATTATATGCGGGTCAGTCGGGTACGAGCTATACGGACTGCCAATATTCCCTGCTGGAAAATCGCTTTAGTAAGCCATGCATGCGTCTATGATGCATATTTACAACATTTTAACCTTGAGATTTATATGTATTACATGTATGCATATACTCACATGTGTGCGCGCGCCTGTGCTTGTGTGTGTGTGTGTGTGAAGGGAAAAATAACTGACAGATATTTGCACACAATATACATGGCTCATGATACTCTACACACACACACACACTCCATCAAAATGCAGTAAAAACGCGTTGGCTTCGCCGGGTAAACAAAAACATTGAACGTAACCCGCTCAGTTGGTTAAGGTGGGTTGTGGTTGCAGCTGTTTTGGCATGTTTGAAAATTCCTGGAAACAAATGTAATAAAAACTACTCGTAATACCCACACACACACACACACAAACACACCCACGCACATACCCAAAGTGCTCGAGTTTTTATGAGCTGCGAGCCTGAAGAGCTTTTTTTTCCCACTTTTTTCCATTTTTGCCCAGTTGTTTTATTTTTTTTATTTGGCTATGTTTAGTTTTTGCGTGCTGCACTGCACTTAAAGCGTTCCTAATGAAAGAATTTTGGTTTTATTTCGCATTTGTTGCTTGTTTTAATTTGATTTTTTAGCACTAGACTAGGGATATATTTCAAATTTATGCGCCCGCGTTGGCATTTTGATGGACTGCGCGGGCAAATCAAGCCGGCTGCCATCCGTTTTGTAAGTAGTTCAAAATAACTAAGTATTTTGTGCTGGTATGAAACGCAAACACATTCCAACCAAAATAAAAATAAAACAAAAAAATAAAAAACAATAAAAAAAGAAAACACACATTTTTCGCTTAACTCTTTAAAGTTTATTTCTTGTTTATTTTATAAATATTCCTGTCGATTTGCCATTTACATGTGTTGCTTAAATTTACATATACATTGGAGTAGCTTTACCATATATAGATATTTAAATATATATTTATTTGCTCAACTTGTTTTATTTGCATTTTATATAACACTTTTTTTTCTTCGGTAATAAATACATACTTTTATATATATTAATTAATTGGTTAAATTTTAATTCATTTAAGCTGTGCTGCAATTTTTCGTTTAAAGAGATTTTCGCTTGTGTCTTTAATATACTACGTATATTACAATATTAACTCAGTTATTTGCTTTTTAAAGACTGTAAATATAATTGAAATATTATATTGTTTGCCGAACAAATAATTAACGCATTATATAAATATATTTATTTATTTTTTTATTTTATGAACTATAAATGATATGTATGTGGTATGCTTGCTTTTGTTTTTATGTCTTTATTTATTTTTGCAATTTTAATTTTTCCTTTGGAACGGATTTCGAGCCGGGAAGCTGAAGAGAAGAACTTAATGCAATTAACCAAATATTTACTATTGATATTATTCTCAATGGGCTGTAGTACTATGTAGATATATAATATTAATATATAATGTTTTTTTTTTTTTTAATTTTTTTTTTTAAGGTGTTTCATGTCAACTTGTTGCTATTTGCGCTTGATTATTTGTATTTAATGGCATATGATATTCTGCTCAGCCCGTTCCGAGAGTTCCCTTAGAAGCTAGTTGACTTGAATACTTTGAGTTTCGCATCCAATTTAGCCGCGTTTAAATGTTACTTTGCACACATACAGTCTCTTTATAAATTTACAATACAAACGAACTCTTAACTCGACAATCTGTTTGCTGTACCTTTATGTACATGTGCCATATTCTATATTAATAATATTATAATATATTATGTGTATATTATTTGTTTTGTGTATATTACATTCTGCTAAATTTAGGCTAAACTTATGCTAAGATTCAACAGCTTAAACATGCACGCGTATGGGGAGTTAGGAAGCCTGATTGACTTAGTATTTATATCTATATAGTAGCTACAACTCTTACTTGTATTTTTATTTTTTTTTTATGATATATGTTTATATCAACTTTAACTTTAACCAAGCCACGCGCCATAAATCAGGGCACCAGCTTTTGGCCAATTGACAAGCTCAATCAAGCCAGACACCGCATCATCGCAACTCCAAATCCAAATTCAGTTCCAGCTTCAGCTTGAACTCCGGTTCATCCTGCTCCGACTGCTGCTGTTCCCTAATCTCTGTTAGCGATTCGCGTCTGTGTCAAACATGTGTCAGTGTTTGTGGCAACAATGCCAGTTGAGTTTTTCGCAGTTGCCTCGTCAATGTCAGCGCTTGCCGCCACATCAAGCGCATCAGCAACAGCATCGCGGGGCACAGCCAGCTCAGCGTCTGTCCAGTGTGTCTGGGGTGTTGGGACACAGCTGCCGATGCTCCATACATGTTGTCAATACCCTCGGCACTGAGACTCAAATCGGCTGGCGACCGAAGGAGCGAGCGAGGTGGGGCGGCGTTCATGTGGAAGAGTGGAGAAACGTTAATGGCCCTGCCGGGTTAACAGCGGAAATTGGCTAAGCTTGTCGAGTGATGTCCTGTGGGCCGTGGCTGGCGGCGTTCAAGTGATTAGCTGGGCGGTGATTTTGTGATTTCATGACTTCGTTAACTGACATATGCCAACACATTGCTGCCGCTGAGCTGAAGCAAGTACATTCATTTATCAGAGAATCAGACAGACTTGACAAACCCAAAAGAAAAGTCCTTGAAATTGGCCTTCGCTTCTCAGCAAAAATATCCAGGCCGCACCTTAACGTAAAATGAATTCACATTTAATTTAACTTCTCAACTTTTACAATTCAACATGGCTCAATTAGGCTATAAAAATAGCAAAATAGAAATGTAGACTGACGACGTGCAGGAGGCAGAAATAAACCAAAAACTTGAAGCACTTAAGCCACATTTAACTGCCTTCAGTTGGCCCACAATAGAATTTATTTGATTGTGGCCAAGTATTTACAAATCATTAAATTGCCCGAAAGCCAAGCCGAGCGTGTTTATTGATATACAATTATGCTGGGCAAAAGTTTTACCTGTGCAGCATTTTCTCTCCCTCTCTCTCTCTCTCTTCCTCGTTATTTCCACTTATTTGCACAACCTTTTCCCACTGCCTTAAATTTGGTGGTTTGATTTCGATTTCTTTTTATTGCTGGTCTTGCGGCTTGCAAATTAGTGTGAAAATCTGTTAAACAGCTCACAATGTCCCAGAGTTACCTTCTTTATGGCATTTTGTCTCGTCTCGAGTGGCCTGTTAAGCCGCAGCTGGCAGGGGCAAGGGCAGGGCAGGGGCTCGTGGATTGTTTGCCAGTGTGGGCGTGGCCAGTGGAGCATAAATGCTTGAAATATGGCCCGTAACCCTAATCGGTGCGATGCACACACACACCCACACACACAGAGACAGAGACAGCCACAACCACAGCCACAGCCACAGCTAGGGAAGCCCAAGAGATGAGCAGATTGACTTGGCTTACCTTTTCGCTTACCGGGATTCTCAGTGTCCTCGCCGCTGTGCTCCTGCGCCCTGGACGAATGATACATTTCGGAGCTTTTCGTGCGCTTTTTTCCTAGTTTTTTTATGGTGGGTGAGGGGGGAAGTGAAATATTGGAATTGCGTTTTAGTTCATTTTTATGACGGCTTTCAAAAGTATCTGTACTTAATGCATATTTATAAAACTTGTAGACTTGTGGCAAACTTTGTTGCTTTTCCATTCCCAATTTCCATTTGCATTTCTTACAGGCCCACCCCACACTGTGCCACCACCCACAAAAGAAAAAAAAAATCCAGGTACAGTCTCCCTTCACCTGTTTCTGTGGCGTTGACGATTTGAAACGGATTTGCATGCCAAATGAATTATTTATGCTTTTTTGCTTCCAGCTACCAGGTTTGTTTCTATTTTCCTTTTTCTACGTTTGTATGTGTGTGTGTGTGTTTGTGGGTGATTCCAGCCATGCAAAGTGAAATATTTGCCGCTCATCTTAAATTTATGCCGAGTGGCTATTAAATCTCGCTTTTCGCGCGCCATCTTTCACCCTTGAACTCAGCTACGCTTTGGCTTCTACAAGACCACGAGGTTTGTGCTTGTGTTGAGATCTGGCTGGGTTGAAACCGTTAAAGCTGTAGAGCTAGAGTTGTATGGTTCTAGAAAACTAAGGAGCTACGTCTATAGCATGTGTCTAAGTTGGGAATGTATTTATGTTCTAAATATTATCGATAATTGAATCTTAATATATTTATGTTCTATATATGATCGATGATTATTTCTGTAGTCTTGTATAATGTTTTTTTTTTTTTTTTTT